GAGAAATTCCCCGAAACAAAAGGAATTTCGGCCGCTGCTTGGGAATATTCCTTAAAGTCCCCATCCCAAGGTAGACTAACCAGAGACAGCTGGCTCCAATTATCATAGCCATGAGCCCGGGAAATGAATGAGGGAGAAGCCCCCACATACAGCGCTAGTAGTCTGGGTCTATCAGGAGGAACAGTGAGAGAGAGTCTGTATCCCCTTTGTCAGGGATGGTCCGTATTTCCTCCAGCAACCTGAGTTTATTCGGAGGAAGCCTGTTTAGATAATCATCATCCAATATATGGGGAGGGGGTTTTCTAGACTGTTTAGTGGCCAAACACATTCTACAAGAGGCCCTTAAGTCGGGGTCCTAATTTAGGGCCATGAAGGCCTGGACATAGGCCACTTGCCCTGTTTCCTGCAGAAGAGATCTAACAGATAGATCGTATTGAAGCTTAATGTCCCATTTATGAGCCATTTTTCCTCATCTCTTTGGTTTTTTTTTTTTTAAGATCTTATTTATTTATTTGACAGAGAGAGACATAGCGGGACAGGGAACACAAGCAGGGCGAGTGGGAGGAGAAGCAGGCTTCCCGCTGAGCAGGGAGCCCGATGCGGGGCTCGATCCCAGGACCCTGGGATCGTGACCTGAGCCGAAGGCAGACACTTAACAACTGAGCCACCCAGGTGCCCCTGGTTTGGTTTTTTTTTTTTTTTTAAGATTTTATTTATTTGAGAGAGAGAGTACAAGTGGGGGGAGGGGCAGAGGGACAAGCAGACTGTCCACTGAGCAGGGAGCTGGATGTGGAGCCCCATCCCAGGACCCTGAGATCATGACCTGAGCTGAAGTCAGATGCTTAACTGATTGAGGCACCCAGGCACCCCTCCTCATCTCCTAAGGAATACTGAGGCCATGCAGTGTTACAGAAGACCAGTCCTTTCTTGGAGCTTGCAATCCAAATTGTTTCCAGTGGGTAAAAAGGCATCCCAAGGGAGAGCCCTTGGGAACTGAAAAAGAAGCCTAGAAGGTCCGTTATCAAGAAAATCCTCCCTCCCCCCACCCCCCGGGTGGCATCCCATGTAGGATATATCAGAGGCTCCTGGTGTCAAAGCGACCCAAGGTGTCCCTCTAAGGAAATTGCTATGATCACCACCCCGCCCTGTAGGAGGGATGCTGGTGCCCCCCCACCCCGCTTTTCCCTTGCATCCTAGGCTACAAAGGGGTGCCAGTGAATGGACCAAAATACCATGCCATGCCTTGCCTTGCCATGCTGTGCCATGAAGAACCCACCGTTTTTAACCCATGGAACACACTAGAAAAATTTTACAAGCGGAAATTACCCCATGTTGTAATTTAAGTGGTATAGGACATTGACTGAAAACAGTAAAGGTAGAAATCCATCATGGTCTAAGCAACATTCCAATACATTTGGTCCTTACAGCCAACTTCCCTAGGAAATGGTCCCGTTTGGGTTTTAATTCAATCAGGTACTGGTTTCGCCTGGCTTCCAGAGGAGGTCTCGCGGCCAGAAGTGGCTGGACCAGAGATGTGAAAGGGGTCACATTAGACCCGATGAGAAGGAAACCTCACACGGGAGTCTTAAGATTGGCAGCTGTACTAGTCACTTAGGTGGCTGTCCTGTGCCCAAGACAGACAACTTTGTATAAGAATAGGAATAAAGAGGAGCTCCTGGGTGAGTTGGTTAAGTATCCGACCCTTGGTTTCAGCTCAGGTGATGATCTCAGCGTCGTGAGATCAAACCCCACATTAGGCTCTGTGCTCAGTGCAATCTGCTTGAGATTCTTTCTCCCTCTGCTCCTCCCCCCAGTGTGTGCACTCGTTCTCTCTCTCTCTCAAATAAATAAATAAATCTTTAAAGAATAGGATAGAATTCTTGGGACATTTTCAGTGCAAAAAGCGTGGTTTTATTAAAGCACGGGGACAGGACCCATGGGCAGAAAATGCTGCACCAGGATTGTGAGGAGCGACTGATTATACACTTTTAAGTTTGTGGAGGAAGTCAGGATAGAGATAATGTGAGTTTCTCAGGAATTTTTGTGTGCTGAGAGCAGGGTCTACAGGACCTTGGAGGCCTGGCTGTCATCAAGATAAGGTTGCTTTTCGTCCCTAGTAAAACATCAACAGGAAGGCGGCCTTGAGTTCCTTGAGAAAGGTCACGCTCAACCTGTCTCAGGTATTCGGCAGTAGGCTGCAGGCTGTAAGGAGATGGAATTTAAGCTACATTTCTCTGGCTTCTGTTTTCCTCATCAGGGAGCCACTACAGTGGGGGAGAATGGTCAAGGAAGGGCTCACTGCTGTGGTTAAGGCAAGCCTTGAAGGAGAGAGGGAGGGAGAGTTCCAGGCAGAGGGAACAGCAGGTGCAAAGGCCTTGAGGTGGGAATGTGCACGGCACTTTTGAAGAACATCGAGGTGGCTGGTGTGTTTGGAGCAGAGAGAGCGAGAGGGACAAGGCGGGTGAGGTCAGTAAGGTAACGGGGGGCCAGATAACACAGGGCAGGGGGTCAGCAAACATTCTTAAAGGCCAGAGAGTAAATGTTTTGGGCTTCGAGGTCCATGAGGTCTGTGTTTCGACCCCTCTGCTGTTGTATCAAGAAAGCAGCCAGAGATGAGCCATAAATCACTAGTGGTGGCTGGGTTCCAAGAGAACTTTACTTACATAACAGCTATTGGGCCTTGAAGGCAAGAGCTCAGAAGAGGAGGAGCCAGCCAGGTGACTGGGAGGGAGCTGACAGGCAGGAGGGAGGGGAGGGAACCCAGTCAAAACCCACACTCTGCACACGGAATAAAACAAAGCAGAAGAACTGCGTCAGACTTTGCAAGGCTCTCATCCTGCAAGCCAGGAAACTCAGGGCTACGGGACCGATGAGTTCCAACTGTTCACAGAGCAAGGGGTTTTTATGGGATAAATGCGGAAGTCATCTGGCTTTTGGAGCTGACTGGTCTAGAGCTAATGGTCTTTCTTATTTGGATTCAAGGGACTCCAAGGGAACAGGAAGTCCAGAGAGAGCGCGAACAGACTTTGGTGCTCGGGGATTGGCTGGTGTCCTCAGCTGATTTCTGAGAAGAGCTGTAAATTCCTGTAAGGTTAGGTTAAGTGTCCTTTATGCGCCTACGTTGGCCATCTCCATTCTGCCTTTGACATAAGTGACTCCATTTTAGTTTGGTTCCACACCCAAGAAGGGGGCATCCTGGAGTCAGGGAAGCAAGGGCTCCCAGGAGGACGAGTGAGTGACCCCCGTCCTATGGCGGCTACTGCCTCCAGAAAGCCCAGGACTCTGGGCTGGCCAGGGGCGTGGCATCTCGGGGATCACCTGGAGGAAAGCAGCTTTGGGCAGGTGGGGGTGGGGGGAGCCGATTGCAGTGAGGTCGGCAGAGGTGGAGATGGGAGAGGAATTGGGATTTGGGTGTAGTGAGAGTGGGAGAGATGAGCTGGAACCTGGAGGCTCAAGAAGGGTGGTGGTGGGTTTTTTGGGTGGTTTTGCTTTCTGTCTTTTAAAGTTGGAAGAAATAACCACCTGCTTAAGTGCTCATAGGAATGATTCAGTAAAAAAGGGGGAAGCTTTGGTGGGGGGGTGGTTTCTGGAGCAAGGACATCAGAGCCTGTGTCCCATCCCCCAAGCTCTGTACCCCGGTTCAGGCCTGAGTCTGCTGTGGGGCCGTGGGGCGTCACGGGTGCTTTTCCTGATTCACAGAATGGCACCTCGGAGGCCAGCGGTGGCTCTGGGCGCTGTCCTTGGGGAGGCAAGACGGGATGGCCCCCAGAGCGCTGGGGAGGGTCGGGCTGGGAACGGGACCACACAGGATGGGGGAAGGGCTAGGAGGCTATGGCCCGGAAGCTGGCTGGTAAAGGAACACAAGGCATTTCTCTTCCGCTTGTCCTATTTTGTGAGTGCAACAGAAAGCAAGGTCTGCTTGAGGGGGTGAGGGGAGGGGAGGTGGTGGCAGGGGTTTGAGGACAGAGGAGAAAGTGTGAATTGGCATCAGGAGGGAGGGGGAGGGAACTAGAGTCTCATTCTCCCGCAGCCTTTGCCCCCGCTTGGGATGGAAGGTGGTCATTTGGAGCGAGGTTTTCAGTGCAGCAGTAGGGTGAAAAGCACTAGTCAGTGTTGTGCAGAGTGAGGAGGGGTGCGGGGCCAGGGTGAGGGTGTGCCAAAGGCTGCTTATATGCTGGGTGGTTAAACTGTGGAAGGAGGGGTGAGACAGCAAGCAGCGAGGGACAGTCAGAGGGTGGCAGGGCCAGAGGATGGGGTCTGATGGGGGAAAGACCACTGAATCGGGGACTAGAGGATGGGGTGGGCTCTGGAGCTGAAATTATGGAGTGGGTGTCGTTATGTAGGATGACCAAGCCTGGGGGCATCATGGGAGCAGGTGGCTGAGGTGGGACGAAGGGCAAGATAGTGCGAAAGGAAGAGAGATCAAGGACTCCGCACACCAGGAGTGGGAGGTGTCGGCAGTGTGGATGGTGAAATGATCAAGAACTGTGGTGTGTGTTGGAGACTGGGACAGTGAGCCAGAACTGAAACCTTCAAGGAACGAGGGGACAGGGGCTGGACTGGTTTTGGGGCCTGCCTGGAGCTTGGGGCTGGAGTGTTCTAGAGAGGGGAGAAGGCGGGAAATGGGGGCGGGAAGCAAAGAGGGCCCCCTCCCCCGGCCTAGTGGTCTGAGAGAGCCCCCACCTGAGAGGACTGCCCAGGAAGCAGGGGCCACAGAGAGGTCTGTGGTCAGTGTTAGAAGGAACAGGTGCTGGAGGACACGAGACATTGTCAAAGGAAAGGGGGTGGTAATGGGGGCCTGACCAGGACAGCTGGGGTTGGGCCCCAGGGCAACCAGGGGTTGCTGGTGAAGGGTGCATTGTGGACCAGGGCTGGGGTGTGGCTTGGTGGGAGCCGGGCATCCTGTTCTTGCCCTTCAGAACCCATCCGATCAAACAGGTCAGACCACTGGCTGTGGTGTGGGCCAAGGACACTGTCGCCTTGGCTTTGCCCTGGAGCCCATGGAGCTGAGACCTGATGCCAACCACAAGGAGAATGTGCCCCCCAGGCCTGCGGCGCCCCTGAGGCCAGGCAAGATGATTAATGGGTCTGGGTTGGATGTGGCAGGAGCAGCTATTGGCCCAGAGCTCCTTTCCCATCAGGCCAGCCCAGGGCCTCACTAATTCCAGAGATAAGCTGGACAGGGCCAGCTGGACCAGGACAAAGTCTTCCTAGCCTGGGGCTGAGGGAGAGTCAGGAAGAGGCAGACCAGGAGTGGGCCTGGCTGGGACCCCTGGCTGAGAAGGGCGGTCTGTGCCAGGGTAGTGGCTCGGGTGCTGGGGACTTCGAGAAGGCTACAGAGCTGCTACAGCCAAGGATGGAAGCAGCCCCTAAACAAATTCAGATTCTGATTCACAGGCCAGTTTCTCCAAGTTCTAGCTGTGTGACTGTGGGGCAAGTTGCCAAACCTCTCTGAACTTTAGTTACTATCTTCAAAGCTGAAGGTCTGGTCCACTCCAGATGGTAGGCCCTCCCTAGTCTTCCACTGTGGAATGGTCTTGGGGCTCGGGAGACTACACCCCACGCCAAGTCCCCAAGAGCCACTCCCTTGCAGCTATTGGATGTGTTGGGTCTTGTTCTAACCCCCAGGGCTATCCCCCATTACCTCCGCCCAAGTCAGAAATAAGTCATCCTTGGCTCTTCTCTTCCCTTCATCCCCCTACCCCCTTCTGAGCCTCCACAGCAGATCCGAATCTGTCTCCGAATTCCCTCTTCTGTCCCTGCCACTCCTGATCCCTGCCCTGTCATCTCTCACCTGGGATGCCCTCAACAGCCTCATTCCTGTCCCCCTGCTTCCCTCTGCCCTCCACCCCGCCTGCGCCCCAGCCCTGCTCCCTGCAGCCTGAGTCAGACCACCACTCAGTCCACTGGGGGAGTCCTGGCCCCCTCCCACCCGGAGCCCTGTCTCTGACCAGCAACCCCCAACCCACCCCAGCACCAAACACCAGCTCCCCACCCCACCAGGGCACAACTGTCTCTCCTCTCTTTAGAGCAGCCCAGGTTCCTGAAGAGCCGAGATGTCGGCCTGGGCAGTGGACTTGGCCGGTGGGCGCGCTCGTACCAGGCCCAGAGGGGAGGGCCTGCCGCCACACCCTCCCCAGGGGCCGAGCTGCACCAGGAGACTTGCCGTGTCCAGACCAACCTGGCTGGCCCAAGCCCCGGCCTGAGCCTCGTCCTGAAGGACACAACCGGCCGGATGATGAACTCAAGCTTGCAACAGCAGAGCAACCTGGAGCGCCCGGCCAGCAGGCCCCAGGGGAGGGCCCGAGAGCTCGCCATCCAGCAGAATAACCTGAGCATGAGGGGGACCAGCTCGGCTGAGTGCAGAAGTCACATCAGTCCCCACCTCTGGCCCCACACGACCCCTCTGTCCCCACACGATCCTCGCCCCCAAGGATCACTGGTTTGCCCATCCTCCAGACTGAGACAGTCCCGGCTGCTGGCCACAGACTCCCCTGGCCCAGACGTCCAACCCGCTGCAGGCTTTGCCCCTTTCAATGGGCACACACGGCCAGGCTCCAGACCCTGGTGTGGCCTGGGGAGCTGGCCCTCTAGGCTCAGGGGGGAGCCCCTCACCCTGGAAGACCTGACTGTCCCTGTCCAGAGCCAAGCTCGGGGCCCATCCCAAACTGCCATCCACCAACTGCTGGCCTCCGTGCGACACCTGGAGCACGCAGTTGCCCGTCTCGGGTGCCAGGCGTCCCAGGAACCCAGCAGTGGCCAGGTACTCCCTGCCCACGCCCAGCCCAGCCAACCTGTTCTTGCTTCCTGGGATGGGAGGAAGAAACACCTGCCAGGTCTCAGGGAAACTGCCAATTTCCCAGAGACACAAGGGACCCAGGCTGGCCTCTCAGACTCTCAGGCAAACAGGAAGCCTGCGTCCCTGGAGACCACGCTGGGGATCCTGACTGGGGATTTCCTTGACCCTAAGCAGGGGGTCCTTCTGGCCAAGCCCCTGAGGCAAGGAGAGAACTTCTCCCCGGGGCCGACATACGGCAGCGGGCAGAGGGGAGGCCCCTGGCTCCCTCGAGGGGTGGGCAGCAAGGAGGCCAGGCTCTGCTCTCCGGCCCACTCCCGTGTGGCCCGGGGCGTCCCAGCTGGGCAGAAGGGGGGGCAGGTGACTCTGCTGGAGCAGGTCAGCAAGGAGGAAGAGAGGAGGGCTTCCTGCCCAGCAGACGCAGCCCCAACAAGGAGCACCATGCAGGTAGAGGCCAGAGGAGGCCGGGTGTGGGAGCTGGGGGACCTCAGAAGGACTCCTCCCAGGAACTCTCATGGCCAGCTGGCTGCCACTACCCTGTTAGACCCCCTTCCCCCGGAAAAGGAGGCCTTGGGCAGGCAGGCTTGGCAGAGGGTGTCCTGTCCTGCTTGCTCCTCAGCCTGAGAACTGTGTCATGTCCTTTTGCTTTCCAAGAAAAAAGCCCGAAACGTGGTGAGCCTGGAGTCCAAGACAGCCCGGTGAGGCCATGGGCTGGGGGGTGGGGGCCGGCCACCCTCCTGGGAGAGCTGCTCCCCCATTTGCCTGGGCCAGTGGAGACCAGCCCCTGATGGAGGTCAGGCCCTGGTGGCAGATCCATGCAGGACTTCCGGGGGAGGGGACTTCCTTCACCCTGTCCCTGCTGGGGAATGCGAGGGACCTCCCGGGCCCCAAGGACAGGGACATGGGGACTGCTGTGGCTGCTGGGAATCTGCAACTTCTAAGGCTGCCTGGCACTCTTGGCCATCAAGGGGGCATTCTGCGGCTCCAGGAGTTTGCTTGTCCGGGATTTCCCGGGCTGGCCACCAGCAGAGGGCAGTTCCTCCAGTCTGCAGCTGGTCTTCCTGCGGCAGCATGAGGCGTCAGGGCTGGACAGGTGACCTGGGTGGTGCCCGGCCCCCAGCTGCTTCCTGGGGCCCAGGGGCCAGGCCCACCCCCCTGATCAGCCCCGGTCTGGCCCCAGCTGGCAGTGGCTGTCCAGATGTTTTGGAGCCTGGTGGCACTTGGTGCAGGAACGGCGGACAGCGGCTGCAGCAGAGGCCCTGGGCCACCCGCAGGTGTTACGCAGAGGCCTGTGGGCGCTTGGGCGGGCTCCGCGGCTCCAGGAGGCCCAGCTGGAGGTGGCGTGGAGGCGACACACTCAGGCCTTACTGGCCCAGAGCTTCCAGAAGGTCAGGGGCCTCCCGGTTGGGCCATGGGGCAGTGATGAAAGGCTGGTATGTCTGGGGAGGGGGTTCCTGTGGGGCACCTGTTCTGTACCTCCTCAGTGAGCTGCGGTAGAGCGGGTGGAGGGCCACCCAGACACCTGAACTAGCTCTGCTGGTGTTCACATCCTGCCTCCGCTACTTTCTTTTTTCCACGATTTCTTGCTGTGTGGCTTTGGGCAGGTTACTTAACCTCTCTGCGCCTTAGTTTCTTTCGCTCCAAAATGGGATAATAATAATAGTACCTCCCTTTCAGGGCTGCTGGGAGGTTAAGTTAATAAATAGAAAGGACTTAGAACCCTGCTTAGCACACAGCAAGTGCTCTACCGTATGAGTGGTTGCTATCTTTTACCCGTGGCTAGTCAGCCAGGACTGCCAGGACACGTGTGTGTTCTTCCCTCCTTGGGAAAGGGGTCCTCTGGGAGGGCCCAGCTCCAGGATCTGCCTCCCAAGGAAAGCACTGCGTCTTGGGCTCCTTCTCTCCATTCATTCATTTATTCCCAAAGGAGCCGGGCAGTCTACAGGTTAAGACCGAAGGCTTTGGAGTTGGACATTTCTGTCCCTGCACCCCACCCTGGTGCCCCCTCTTGGGGCACATTTGAGGCTGCCGCTGACATCCTTCTCTCCCTCTCTCTTCCCCAGTGGAGAAACCGGACTCTGCAGCAGAAGCAGAGGCAGCCGCACGTCCAGGCTGGGCCGGGACCCCCACCCTCTGGGGCAGGACAAGGCCAAGGCCCCTCAGGAAGGGAGCCAGGGGTGGACCCCACCAGGAGAAACAGGTAGTGCAGGACACCCCAGTGGCCCCTGGGCAGTGCTGGTGGCCTCCCTTCCCCCGCTTCCTGCCTCAGTGTCCCCCCTCCCCGCTCCCCCCATAAGAGAATGAAGATGAAACCCGCAGATGTGGACAAAGCTTTGTGCAAGAGTATGTCCATGGCAGCATTATTTCTATTGCTTGTAAAAACTTCAAAACAGGCTAAGTGCCCCACGGTGAGGGAGAAAATTATGGTTTAGCAACTCTTCAATACGATGTTCATCAAGACTTTAAAAATTCCTCCTCATTCATTTTTTAAATTTTTCGTTTCAATATCTTTATTGGCGTTATTTCTAATTGTAACAGTAATGCGTGTTTGATTTGAAAAAAACACTCCCAAATAGTTGAACCTTTCACCGCCCTTCCCTAGGTATTCCCCCTTCCTAGAAGTAGTTTCATGGGTATTTGCATGGAATTTTTAGTGACAAGGAGAAATGGTTTTGGTATGTTAGATGGGGGGGGAGGCTAAAAAATGGTGTGTAAGATATTTTTCGTGCACATGAAACAATATAGAAGGAAAAACAGTGAAATGTCGTACAATTACTTAGCACTACCGAACAGCTCACTTAGAGATGGCTAAGACAGTTAAGCTTCATATATTGTGTATTTTATTATTGTGTATTGCTCAAAATGAAAATCAATAAATATTTCGTCCAAAAAACATGCTGAAATAAGCAGATAGTGCTTATCTCTGGAGCAGTGAAATTCAAGTTGGCTATTTCCTCTCCATTCCCTCAATCTTCCACTACAGCAAACGATGGGTTTTGTTTCTATTTGTAAATGAAACAAATGTGTTTAAAATAATTATTCAAATGCCATTTGTTTGAATACATGTTTGCTGTGAGAATCCAAATGGTATTGAAGAGAATGAAACAGGGGCGCCTGGGTGGCTCAGTCGTTAAGCGGCTGCCTTCGGATCAGGTCATGATCCCAGGGTCCTGGGATCGAGCCCCATGTCGGGCTCCCTGCTCTGCGGGAAGCCTGCTTCTCCCTCTCCCTCTACCTGCCACTCGCCCTACTTGTGCTCGCTCTCTGTCAAATAAACAAAATCTTAAAAAAAAAAAAAAAGAGAGAGAGAGAGAGAATGAAACAAAAGCAGAACTTCCCCCAAGATCGCTTTGATAATCAGGGATGATATGGAGAGAACGGGTTGGGGTAGGGGTAGCTGAGCGCACATTTGCACCTGCCGTGGTGGTGGCCGGGTGGCCAGGTTGGGACTGTGTGCTCTCCCTCAGCCTGACCCGGGGCATCGGTTTCTCTCTGGGCAACTTCACTCACAGTCCAGGGAGTCCGAGGGAGGAGGCAGGAGCCTGGCCAAAACCAGCTGGAGGCGATGGGGTAGACCAGATGCTGCAGGTCTTACAACAACTGGCCGGTGAGCTGTGGGCCCCGGGAAAGCAGGGGAGAGGGAGAGGGGTCGGCCCCAAGCACCCACACTGTGCAGGGCTGGGGCTCCTGAGCGAATGAGTGCTTACTGAGCGTCTACTTGGACAGCTTCCCAGACACGATTTCATTTGAGCCTTACGGGACCTGGTCAAGGCTTTGTGCCCAGTTTACGGATGGGGAAAGTGAGGCACAGAGAAATTAAGTGACCAGCTTGAGGGCACACAGTATGAAAGGTGCACATCCTGTATTTGTGTGCCGTTGATGTTAATACAGCTCCTGCAGAAGCTTGAGTATTCGAACCGGAAGGTCCCTCAGACATCACTCACTCCAGGGAAACTGAGGCCCAGAGACGGGGAACGACAGAGCCTCCTCCTGTCCTGAGCCTCCCTACTCTCTCTCCACTTTATAGTCTTCCTGTTGTGGTACCATCAGAAGGACTGGGCCAGGCGGGAGAGGGGGTTCCAGGGAGAGGCCTCCCAGGTCACACCGAGGACTCAGAGGAGGGGGAGACGCCCCCAAGCCCGGTGCTCTCCTGCTGCAGATGCACCCAGGGTGGCCTTGCCGGACACTCAGCAGCGGAGAGCCTGGCTCTGCAGGTAAGGAGAAGTAGAAGAAGGTGGGAGTGGGGACCCCCTTCTTTGAGGCAGAGGGATTTGGTCCTAAGCAAAGCTCAGCGCCGGCCGCCCCCCAGCCCCGCTCCTGGAAGCACAGCAGTCATACAGGGTACGCCAGTAAGTGTCGTGAGGGGAAGGAACACAGATCCATAAGAGGATTTTTCCCGTGTTAATTTTTTACGATGCGACATTTACATCTTACACAAAAGTAGAGAAAATAGGTACTAACCCCCAGCGTCCCCATCACCCAGCTTCAAGAAAATCGCCTCCTGGGGACGCCGGGTGGGGCAGTCCGTTGAGCGTCTGACTCTTGGTTTCGGTTCAGGTCATGATCTCAGGCTCCTGGGATCGGGCCCCGCGTCAGGCTCGGCGCTAGCATGGAGTCAGCTTGAGGTTCTCTCACTCCCTCTCCATCAGCCCCTCCTGCTCATGCTTTCTCTTTCTTTTTTTTTTTTTTTTAAAGATTTT